TCATTGAGGATATGGTATGAAAGTAATATCCATTATCCTCAATTTGCGGATATGGTATTGAGCCTAATATCCAATGGAGAGGATATGCCGCAGTCTACTTACCACTCTAGAGATATTTAGTGAGCTCGTCGTACTACGAAGTAATTGATCGCGGTAAAGAATCGCTGTTAAGGGCCCTCTCTAGCTCCGATTTAGTTATTAATAACTAGCTAGTAGGCTGTATTATATCTGATAGTTCACGTTGGCTATATCTCTCGAAAAGAGACTAAAGACTCTCGCGGTATTCCTTTCTATAGTCCTTTCCTATCTTAGGATCTAGGTCTTAATCACTTGTTAAAAAGAACTCTATCTTACTCGACGGCGCTAGGATCGTCCTAATTGTATAGAGATTACCTTCGATATCATCTGTCTCGCCGTAGTATTCCTTTAGTTTCTCCTTCGTAGCCTTAAGGGAGGAAAGTATTAGCTGTTTCTAGTGAACTTTCTTTCGACGAAGCTGACGTATTGATCTTTTAAGATGATTAAAAAGCTTGTTATAAATCCTAAAGATAAGGTGGATACTCGAGTCTTTAGTACGATAAACTAGCGTAGTAAGCGTAAAAAAGGGCTAGAGAATGTAAAGTAGATAGTCAATCTATCGCCACCTGTGAAGGGCTACAGCTGAATTGATTCAATTAGGCGGTGCCTGCATGCTGTTTATCTAAATCTTAGAGAACCGTAAACAAAGGAGCGGTCAACTGCTGTATAGTGTTCCCTAGGGCGGTCAGGCTACCCGTTCGGCAGTATCGGGTGCGGTGTCTGCACGGGCAAAGCCCGAGCCTCAACGTGGCCCTGGCCCGTTACACCACCCCTCGATACTTAATACAAAATGGGTTTAGGTATAGTCTTTGTAGTACTTGTCGAATATGTTATAAAGTCTTTTCGCCCGCCGGAGTATTAGAAATGTCGAATTCTATCGTATACGGACATCCTAGATTAGGAGAAGCCTTATCCTAGCGTTATTAGATTAAAGATTCAAGAAGGCTTCTTTGCGTTAAGGGCTTCCGTTGATATAAACTGCGAGACCGCGAACCTATAAGGATTATTAGCGTTATTAGATCATGATTCATAAATAGAAGATTTAAGCTTACCTTATTTAGAGTATCGGCGATCTTATGTTTCTACTAGCGCGCACGAAGTGAACGTACACGGTCTTTAGACCATTCCGTCTCGGCGTTATCATTCTTCGGGGAGGCCTTAATTTTACTAAGTAAATCAATTAGACTTAATTAAATCATATATATAAGGCAGGGCACTTGGATAATCGTAGAATCTGTCTCTTACTATAGCGTCTTAGCCGAATCATTCACCGCTGCGATAAGTGTCTTATTATTAGACGTATTATCAGTTGTTACCGCCAGTATACGGTTAGCGATCTGGTGCTTCTCTAGGATCTAGAGAACAACCCTACCGAGGTTCACTCCGGTATAAGATCTAGATATTAGCTTAAACCTAAGGAGAACCTCGCGATACTCCTATTCCTAGTCTAGGAAGTATCCTATAATAGCCATAAATGCTTGCTAGAATAGAGAAGTCTAACAGTCAAGCGTAATCGACATTCTTACACTAGATAGAAGCCGTTATAGTGTCTCCTGTTAATGTTCTATAACAAAATCCCGAAGGCGCTCGCGAATCACCTTTCTTGATAGAACACTTAGTGGTGTAGGTGCTAGCCGTGCGTAGGAAAGGAGGTTATAGAATTCTTGATATTCGACGAATAGGAAGGGTAAATGCGATATAGTAATCAGGTTTAGGATCTTCTGCTCCTATATTTTCTAGGTAAAGGTAGGCGCTGGTCTTCTCTCGGCCTAAATAGTGAAAATAGTATTAGTATTAATATTAAATATTGTAAGACCCCGTTACGAGGGTCTTGGGACTTAGGTGGATTCGGGCAATAGAATGGAGAAAGCAGTAGACAGGTTCAATGCTGAACTAATCGCTGGAGTCCAAGACTCCAGCCTCTGAACTGTTTATATACAAATGTGGGGTCATGTGAGGTCATGAGCCCTCGCATTGTGGGTCTCAGCCCTGGGTCCAGTTCGCACCTGCGAACTGGCCATCTCTGCAGTCTCACATAGACTGCGAGATATATATCGTCAGACCTGCTTAGTACTTGGGTCCTGACAAGAATGCCAACTCGGGTACATCTTCGTGACACTTTCCAAACTGTCCCTCGCCTATTCATCCACGCTACAAAATGCCTAACCCCGATCCCCTTCGTACGGCTATCCTCATGCTCTAGAAACCTATCTCCAAGAATAATGAAAGTCTAACTGCGAACGGGGCCACCCGTCACTCCTGCCGAACGAAAAATCATCAACGAATGAAAAAGTCATCCTCAAATAGGGCTCTATGTATATGGCTCATGTCCCAAATCTTGCTTAAGATGTGCTTTATTCAGATAACGACGGAGGATAAAAGACTTTGCCCAGCATCCTTGACTCAAAGTCTTGAAGTCTGGCGCAAATTCCAAGTTTAAACAAGAGAGCATTTAGTATTCGTGAATTGGGCATGCTAATTCAGATGTGAGAGAAGAATTGTGAGAAGTGCTACGATAGCCACTTTTATTAGATATGCTTCATCTGTGATTATGCTCCTACTGGCTGCCCTCTGCCTCTGCCTCTGCCTCTCCCAGGGCCTGATATGGGCTGCGCTATCCCTTGCCACCTATTTCTGGTCTCCTCCAACAAGCCTCGCGGCGTTTTACCCTCCCCATTTGGTTGGTTCATCAACATAGCGGCATCTTCCCCAGCAGCATTTTTCAGAGCAAGCATAATCTCATCCTGAAGTCTGATCTTGTTCGCGGTTGTCACTTCCGTATCTCTCCCATCACGGCGTACATGATCATTCAAAAACCCTCGCGCTGCCGTATGGAAGGGCGTTTCGCGAAGAGTGTTTCGAGCTCTGAAATCCGCTCCATGCTCAATTAGGAACTTTGCCGCTGAGACCTGTCGCAGATTCTGAGTAAAGATGTGTAATGCTGTTTTCGCGTTGTTATCTGTATGGTTGATATTGGCACCGTGTGACAAGATTGATTCCAGGAGTGTGGTATTGATGGGGTCGCCTTGATGGGAGTGGTACCCTAGTAGATGCAGGATGGTACGGCCCGAGCCATCGGGGATTCGAGGGTCAGCCTTGTATTCGAGTAAATTGCGGATAGCAAGCTCAGCATACTGGGTGCAACCGCATCTAGCGTGGCTGCTAGCAGCATAGTGCAGGGGCGTGGATCCAGTTTTGTCAACAAGGTTGATACCAGTAGAATCGTGGTCAAGGAGCAGCCGAAGGGTTTCTCTGATTTTCAGCTGCTTATACAGGATTCTGCAATCAGACTCGGCACTGCCGCTAGCTGCCCAGTGTAATGGAAACCGCCCATCGCTGTCACAGGAGGAAGTCAGGTCAGGGTTGCCGTTGGCCTTGTGATTTTGATGATTCAAGAGCAATTTAACAGCATCTGAATTGTAGAATAAGCTTGCCAGATGGAGCGTGGTCACGTTATGCGCGCGAGTGTTTGTAGTATTAGACTGAAGTGGTACTCTGGGGTCATGAAGATGTTGATGTTTGAGATAGATATCGGCACCGGAATCAACGAGCCGTTGAATTAATGGACCAGTACCCCTTGACACAGAAAGTCCAATCACACTGTCTTGAACCTGATTTTCCCAAGGGGAGAGATCATTTGGCAAAGGGGGATTGACATCTGTTGCTGAACAGCCCCGGTCGAGAAGAAGATTGATCAACTGATGGCTTCGCGTAATCCGGTTCCAAATCCACTCATTCCGATCAAGGCCCTCATCCTCCAATTCGTTGGCATCTTCATCGGGATATATCAGCGACCTCGCAGCGGCCAGAATCGGCGTATCTCCGAAGTCATCTCTCTGATGCAAATCCACTGATCCGAGCGGTAACGGATTCTCTGGATCGTCATGGCTGTCTAAGATGAAACGCACGATATCAATATTTGCTGCACCACATGCGTCTAGCAACAGTCGGAAATTGGGATTGAACTTTTTAACAATTTCTGGGGCAGCAGTATACACCCCCAAGAGGATGCGAAGAGCCTCGGGGCTACCGTAAGAGGCTGCACTGAACAAGGTGTCATCCAAGTAGGCTGTCCCAGGAGCAATCACATCATCGGGAGAGCACGAGGCAATAAACTGACGGAGGAGAGAAATATTATTTTGCTTGATGATGCTCACGAGGCGATTTCTGCGTCTGCCGCTGATTTGAGAGGGGGATTCCGGAAGCTCCAAATGGTTCAAGGTAGGAGAATTGCTTTCTGCCATGATAATTTACTCTCTTTTTTTTTCTCTTCACTTCTGCCCTTCCTGTGTCAGTCGGTAATTTGTGAAAAAAGTGCGGAAAAAAAAAAGGGGGGAAGAAGAGGGAAGAAAAGAGGACGAAGAGGGGCCCCAAGGTTTAATCAAGCCTACAGCAGAGGGCGGCCCCACCAACGCGTTCCACGGGTCGGCGACGGGGATGATGCCCTAATCAAGCCCGGATGCCCGGGTGATATTCGATCATTATGTGTAGTAGGGGGTCTTCCCTCGCTAGAGTTGCTCAAGGCAAAAAAAGAACAACATTGATTTAACATTTTGAATGAATTTAGCTCTCATCTGTTTCAAACCCGACACAGCCATTACTGCATTGCTTTAGTCATTGAAATTTACGCCAACGTCACGGTGGGGTTTTGTATATATATATATTCTAATACACGGCAATTCCACCAAACAGCTCAAATATCTTGATATGCTGAAGGATCCTCCGGGGGTGTATCTGTGTCCGGCAGCCAATTATCATCAAAGGCGCCAGCGGCGGGATTCAACCTGTCGCGCGCATTGATGTTTGGAGTCCAGCCGTTGTCGATTGCGATATCTGGCAGTGTTGGCCAAAGGTACGCCAGATTTGCCACCGAGAAGGTACCCCTATTGTGAAGCCATGTTCCCTATTCCTAATTAGTATACTCATGTTGCACGAGAATCAAGCGAACGTACAAAGTCATTCAGCAACTGGCCATAGTCCACATCTGAACTAGCCGTTCCAGGAACATTACTGTCCCGATTCTGACCAACATACCACCGCTGTGCAGCGTTGCCGCGGCGCTGTCGAGGACAAGCGATTGTATCAGTCCGGGAATTGTAATTCTGAAGATTGCCTGTGTTATATCTTCCCTCCGCGTAGGAGCTTGTATAGCGATATTCAGCCCGGTATCCCCGCTGATATCCCGGGGTGACGGCAGGGGGACGGTAGACACCCTGACTGTGATAAATACCCATGTTCCGGACTCCCATGTACAAAATATTGTCACCCCCCATGAAGGTACGTCCGTCGAGCGGAACATGCATGTGCATAACGATCCATCGGTCGGTGCCTGCTGTGTGGCTGCGATCCCCGTAGTTGGCCCGGGCGGTTGAATCCGCCACGCCGGGTGTGCTTCCTATCCAGAAGGCCAGCTCGAGGATCAGCTCGTTGCCGCCACTGGAAGTCGACTGGAGCCACCGGAGATAGTGGAGAGAGAGTTCACCCTGATAGAGAATCAAGCACGGTCAATTTTTGGAATATGAAAAATGAGAGAGAGGAAGAATTACATTGATAATGCCTCGCAGGACATACATCACAGACGGGGAGCAATTGTTTTCTGAACGGGTGTCGGTGCCCACCACGGTGACAGTTCGCGTCGACAGTGTGGAATCATCATCATCCTCACTGGGATCATCGCAGAGATATTCTGACGCGACATAGAGACGGTCTAACCCTTGGGACGAATCGGCAATGTTGCACAGCTCATCAGACAGGGTCGAAGACGGGCTATACAGGAATGATCCTGACCAACTATCGACGGAGCCAAAGAGAACATTCCTCATGGTCGAGGAATTGGCAGCATCGTTCTCCAGCCCATACTCTTCCAAACGCAGATCCCAGATACGGTTGATATCCTCACGCGGGACTTCGGAAGTAATCCAACTTTGGAGTAATGGCATCAGAAGGCTTAGCGTAGTGGCTTGGTCCGCCAGGTCTCTCCGGGCCTTTCCTACACTGAAGCCAGTGCTGCTGCTGCTGCTGCCATTAATACTATTGACGTAATTCATGCTTCGTCGGGTGACATAGTCATCGCCAAAGGTGGCGCTGTACTGGGCCTCCCAGGTCAAGGGGCATACCGGGTCAGCAAGGAACTTTTTTAGATAGGCATCAAAGTCCTTGGCCGTCTGATCCTGATAGGTGGTCGGCTCGCTCGTATCAGACCGAGGAGCGACTTTGGCAGTGGCTCCCTTGCAACAGTAGGCCTCGTTCCCGGCAATGCAGTCGGTAGTATGACCCTTCATGTTGTTTCCAAAAAACATGTTGATTGACTGTTCAGCGACGCGGATGTACCTAGAGGGACACGAATCACTGCAGTACGCGGTGTTAACGAAGGTCGTCTCGTGACCCTTCCACTCGCAATTAGTGAAGGCATCCGGGACCGACGAGCCTGAGCAGCAATAATTGTACGTTTTATCGCCCTTGCACGAGGGCATACCGCCCCAGCCATTCCGCGAGCCTACCACGAAGTTGGAGAAGCCTGATGGGCATGTTTTGTCACTCTCGCAGCTGGTCGTCCACGCACATTTGGACCAGGGGTCAGTCGAGGTGGTGGTAGAGCAGCAAGCTGATTGATATCCCGACTTGGTACAACCGGCGCCGGTGGTGCCCACCTCAGCCTCCCCGTCGTCACAACCGCCCTTGCACTTGCCGTTGTTGTGGAAGCCGCGCCACTGGCAGGTTGGTAAGTCCGAAGATGAAGGGCAGCAGAGTGTTTGTGTCTGTCCGTACCCGGACGGGCACTCAGTGCTGTCAAGCATGAGCTGGGAGGTCTTGTCTTCGCGCGTGATGACCTTGTAGCCACTAGGACAGACATCTCCGCAGTTGATGAAGCGGCAGTACGAGCCCTGGCTGGGTGTGGAAGTGGAGGTGATGGTAGCAGACTTCTCGAGGAGGAACGTGGCCGAGGTCAGTCCGGTCGTCGTGTTCAAATTTATTTCATTGCCTAGGGCGGCCGCTAGCCCCTTGGAGAAAGTGTGTGAGCTGTCATCACTGTCGACAGACCAGACGAGGACCCCACCGAGACACTGAGACTTCGCCAGCTCGGCTTTGAGCTTCTAGGTGTCTTCATCATCATACGAGACCCACTGGTCGCTGTTCCAGTTAATGGCCTTGATGGCAGCGTCCTTGTAGAGCTTCGGAGTTAAGTCGTTATCACTGATGATAGCCTCGATCTCGCTGTTGAACAAAACACCGGCTGTATCACTGCAGTCACCAGCATCTCCGGTGGAAAGATATGGGCACCTAGGCTCGGTGCAAGAGGAGGATGCGAGAGTGAAACTGCGGCCATAGAAGGCCATACCCATATTGACTTTGCTGGGCTTGATGTCATTTCTCTATAGCAGGTCTAGCGCGGTCTTGATCTCAGTTAGGTTGGTATGAGCATTCAGATAGGCACCGGTCCATTCATTGCCAATATCCCAGGTGCCGTGTAAGTCATAGCTCATGAAGTTGAACCAGTCAACCGACGGGTCGATAGACTCTAGATCAAAATGTTGTAGATACTAGTAGCTTGTTGGTAATGTGATAGACAGGCCAAACTTGTAGTCATCTAGCGCCTTCCTCAATCGAGCGAGGAAGGTGGGAAAGTTGGCATAGTCTGAGTCCCGGCCGTTACGATCGCCTGCTGCGGGGTACTCCTAGTCGATATCAATACCAGTAAAGCCATAGGTGGTCATGAACTGGGTGAGCGACTTGAAAAAGGCATTCTGCTTGCTCGTACTGGCCCCAACTAGATCGGAGAATGTCGTTGCTGTCGCGGCGCCACTGTCGGAAAAGTCCTAACTACCGATGGAGAGCCAAAGCTCCTGACTCAAGTCACGCATCTGAAGTGCCTGCATCTGGGGGTAGAGCAGTTTATCGGCATTGGATGCCGGGATGACCTCAAAACTGTCTGGGTCGATGCTCACGAAAGCAAAATAGATGTGAGAGTAGACACCCTGGGGTATTGATGCGGGCTGCATGCCACCATATCCCCGTGAGGCCGCCGCTGAGTTGTAGTAACCAATGACTCGGTTGATTGACTGAGTATCGGCATCACATGATGGCCGGGTCACGGTGGTGTTGCCGTAGAATTCCTCGGTCGTGCCGTAGAAACCAAATGAACTGCAGTAAACGTTCAGGGGACAGGTTGTCGCGTTGACATACTGTTCTGGCCAGTTGTCTGGATTGCATTCTGCTTTCGCATCGCAGTTGTTGATGTAGGTTTTGGCGCTGTAGTAGGTTGGTCCCATGCCACAGACATTGTATTCACCGCAGCAGCCAATCTCACAAGCGGTGTTTGTATCGTAGTAGGTATCGGCGAGCGCCAACGAGAGAAGCCCGAATAGGGCCTAAAGCATTCGCCTCATATGTCTGTTGTAAATAATATTAGACAGTGTTCTTCTGTAAAGCAACCGAGATAACGCCAAAGACAAGTGGCATGGAGGTCAAGACTTACGGAGATATGCCACTCGGCCTCTGCTAATATTGAAGACCTGTTTTCCCGGTGAAGTATCTGCCAGAGATACACCCCGCGCTATATAAGGAATTACAGAACTTATCTGGCAAGTCAAATTAATCCCATAATTTTCTGTCCTATCCTCGCCGTTCTCGGGGTATTCTCTATAACCAGTAAGTCGGGCTCTGTCCAGTCTAGATCAAGTTGCATGTCTCATCTACTGCGTAGCGAGATTGGACCTCGCTAAACGACTAATTAAAACAGTGGCGGACCTGACGGACATGCCGGAAGGATGAGAGGATAATATTACAAGTGGTTTAGTGACCCGCTATAGATTACCGGAGGCCGGGTATCCAATGCTTGTCTGCGAGAAAATTTCTACTCACAAACTATCTAGAGGCACTTGAATCTTAGTTAAGTAGTTGCAGATAGCTAGCCTTAAAGAGTCCTGGTGTGAACGGCGGCGTTTGCCTGTATTAGTTAGCGCAACGGGCAACATTTACAATTGGTCAATTCCCCCCCGAGGTCGGGTTAAAGCCTTTACTAGACCCTTGGCTAGACCCTTTCATAAAACCCTTCAGTGGACCATTGTTTGCCGAGATGCGGCAGTCCCCGCTTCTCGGGTCGGAGAAAAGCCGTGCATTCGCCTTGACTGGCCCTAGCTTGAACAATGAAGACCCACCTGCATGGGGGCCAAGAATGATCAGGCGTTGACTAGGAACAAACGCCTGATGTCTCACTCGATGGGGTCTAGTATATTTGAGAATACGCCCGCCTTGTATGTCCTCATTTCCGGTTCCTGGGATCCATCCGCCAGGATCCTATCATATCATATCGGGTCATGTAGTAGTGTCTTCTGACTACCAGGAAAACTTTTCGAAGTAATGAACTTTTTCATAATAGGTACTGATGCCCCTGGGGCTATTGCAAAGGACAATTCAGAGAGGCCCATTTTTTATTCTGTGTTCTAAGATGGCCCTTCCTAGCGTTCTTGCGCTGCTTTTGGTGGCCTCTGCGGGCGTCAGTGCAGATGCCGAGGTGACTATGTTCGCAAATGGTTCTCTGTCTAGCTTTGGTCTGACCACGGCCTGTGAACTTTCGCTATATAATAGCGTTGATTGTGACCCGGGCGTGTCATCCCTGGCCACGAGCTCCTATGGGGGCAGCCTAGACAACGACACGTTGACGTCTCTGGTCTGTTAGAGCGCATGCGGAACATCAATTGCCCAGCTGCGTGACTCCGTGGAGACTAGCTGTGGCAGCACCGCTGAACTGGTCCCCGGAATGACTTTTCTCGCGCTGGTTGATCAGGTCTGGAGTAATTGGAATTCCTCTTGCTTTACTGATCCCACAACCGGTGACAATTGTAACGGTATATCAACCCTGTTTCTAGTACCCTGATGTCGGGTGAAACTATCACTAACTTATTACAGATGTTATTGCGGCGTTCCCTGATGTTGACGATGTCATCGATCTGCCTACTGCAGATCTGTGCTCGTATTGCAACGTGCAGCAGCTAGCCCTCCTCTAGGCGAACGCCTACTTAGACGCTTACACTGAGGATTGGCAGACAACTTACGAGAGCGTTGCAAAGGCTTGTAACCTCACCGTTTCTGATTTTGACCTAGTGCAAAGTGAGTTCAACGTTACAGTCCCATCTGTTGATGTGAACTGCGTTTCTGGGAATACGTATACGACCAAGGAAGGCGATACGTGTGACTCTATCGCCTACGCCTATGGCGTGTCCGCTGCTACTATGTTTTACATCAATCCTAGTCTAGTCAATTGCTCATCGATCTGTAATGGGACCGATCTGTGCCTGCCCCAGACTTGTAGCAGCATCTACACGATCCAGGCCAATGACACCTGCAGCACTATTGCTGTCGACTATGGCCTCCTGACGGTGGACGTAATCAACTTCAACTCTCAGCTCAACGTGAACTGCAGTAACCTGGTTGATCCTGTCCCTTACTGGGGCTCGACCCTTTGTGTCTCCACCCCAGGAGGCATATATATTGGCCAGCCCCTAAACACCACTACCGATGACAGCGTTAGTTCAATTGTTAATCCCCCGGCAGGCAGTGTCGTGGCTACCGGCACAACCACTGACTGCAGCGCCTGGTTTGTCAACGATGCTAGCCTCAATCTCACCTGCGCGCAGATCTGTCTGTCCAACCTGATCGCAATCAATCTGTTCACCGAGGCCAATCCTTCTCTGAACAAGACGACCTGTGACAACGATTTGGTGGCCGGTTCCGCCTATTGTGTCGATCCACTGTCCGGGTGGAACTATGGAAATTCCATCAGTAATGCTACCACGACCACTTCGGTCTCTGTAGCCAGCACCCCTGCGGTTCCCACACAGACGGGAATTGTTTCAGATTGTAACAAATACTACACTGCTCAAAGTACGTTTCACTCTCCACTGCCATTTGTTCCGAGTTTTGTACACTAATCATTCTATAACAGATGGCGATAATTGCGCTACAGTAGCTGCAGAATTCGGCATCACCACCGCCCAATTCCTAACCTGGAATCCGGCTGTTTCTTCTGACTGCACGTCTGGCTTCTGGGTTGATGAGGCGTACTGCGTCGGCGTGTCGTCGGCTACTACTACTACTACCACCACCACCGCAGTCCCAACAACATCAACATCATCCAAAGCGGCCACGGCTTATACAGTGACAGCCCCCGCGCCAACTCAATCCGGTATTGCCAGTGACTGCGATCAGTACTATGTGCCAGTCGGTATGCTCAGCCACCCTTCCCCTTTGCCACTCCCCTCCCTAATTTTTAAATATCTCACATGGAAGTGAACTAATTTATGCAGACGGCGACACCTGCGAGACTGTGGTGAGCGAATTTGGTATCACCACCGCCCAATTCCTTGCCTGGAATCTAGCGGTCTCTTCAGACTGCTCATCTGGCTTCTGGCTCGAAGAGGCATACTGCGTCGGTGTGTCATCAACTACCACCACTGCCGCAGTCTCGACAACTATTATAACTAAAGTAACAACAACAGCCAGGGCAACTACGGCTACTACGGTGTCACCTCCTGCTCTAACGCAGACCGGCATTGCCAGTAACTGTGATGAATACTACGTGCCAGTCGGTAAGCTTAAATACCCTTTCCTTTCTCACACCTCGTCCCTAACGCCTATGCCCTTATTTCGGAAAAAGCTAATAAATACAGATGGCGACGACTGTGGTACTGTGGCCACTAAATTTGGCATCACTACCGCTCAATTCCTGGCCTGGAACCCGGCTGTCTCGTTAGATTGTACTTCTGGGTTCTGGTTGGAGGAAGCGTACTGTGTGGGGGTATCATCGTAGTATCTACTAGTGGTTCCATCTCTTTGCGGGGAAGTCATCCATGGATTCAATTAATGATTCAAATAGAAAATCGCTCTGGTACTGTGCTCGTTCAATATGAATTTCTATCCACGAGCCGCTTATCTGTAAGCCCAAAGCCTCACACATAGTCTTTGCTCAGCCCCAGTTTCATCTCACATCACAAATAATGTTTGCCTCGACCACATTGTACGCGTGTTTTATATAGGGCGCCCCTTGTTTACAAAAACGTTAATATTATGACTGCCAAAGTTGCGTTCCTTGTAAATGATTCATGTTCAGTCACATCCGAGGCCCGAACTAGGCAGGTTAGGGTGGCCAAAGCCCCCATAACTCAGACTTGTAGGCCAAAACAAGGTGACTCATTTGACTCCTGTCTTATGTTTTATGTTCCTGAGACTGGAAAAGAGAAGGCTCTCTTAATTTGTACACCACGCTAACTATATTAGTCCATCACATGATTTCTAGATGTACCCTGTTTTTTAAATGGTCTTTTACAACTGCGTTTCATTACCAATTTACTACACATTTCCTATATTCAACCCCACATTCAATCCCCCATATTCAATCCCCCATATTCAATCCCCCATATTCAACTTAGCCTCTATAACCATCATGTCTGTCATATTCAATACCCTCCCTCTTCCGCCTATCTCTGAATTTGGCGATGCATTCCGTAAGGCCTTCTCTTTATCGGTCATAATTGTCCTTGGGTACGGGATCTGCTGCTGATCCAATAGCCCTTTTAGCCAACGTAGCACCTGTCGATAAGCTGGTTCTCGCTCATTGGCTATAATGCAAGCCCAATATAGAAACTCTTACCGACCGAAGACTCGCCGATAATATCAAGTAGCGGGAAGTGATATCGGTTGGTTTTGTAGGTGCAGTCCATCCATAGAAAAAAGGGATTGCTCCGAAGTAATTCAATCGAACTACGGTGGACTAAGAATGCCGCAGTTAATTGGTCGTCTGTATCCACATCGTAGTGAATAATCCATTGATCATTGTCTTGCTTTAGTAGGTTTTGAATCTGCGAATAACCTCCTAAATCCGATTGCCGATAATCGAATATAAAACGCCCAATCCTATCAGGATTAAGGGTGAATTCTTCGCCTATTGCCTCACATTGATTCTTGATTCCTTGTGATATCATAGATGGAGAGGAACCTTGATGAATTCCAGCAATGACTTGGATTCTAAACCGATCGATCTGCCTTGTCTGGTGGATAGCAAAGGTATGACCTGGTTGTCGATCATGATTATGGCCACTTTCAACAATCTGGATATCCCAAAGCCCATGATTGCTGGTAATATCGGGATCGGAACGTAGGTGGAGGGTGGCACGGTATGGGCATTCGGTTGATCGGGTAGTCGATTGATGATTAGTGGTCTTTTGGGCTTTGTAAGCCCTACTTCGGGCGCATTGAATTCGAACCCTTTTAGGCTGGGAGCCTCGCTTTGAAACTGCGAAGCCCTGGGGCTGGGCGTGCATATTAATAGCCTCAATAGCCTGCTCAGCCGAGCGATAAAAGGGCTCGCCAAATTCAGGGATAGGCGGCAGAGGGAGGGCATTGAAAATGATAGACATGATAAATATAGAGGCTGAATATAGGGGGTTGAATATGGGGTTTAAATATGGGGGTTGAATATGGGGATTGAATATAGGAATTTGGTAGGAAATTGGTAATGAAACGTAGGTGTAAAAGACCATTTAAAAAACAGGGTACATCTGGGAATCATGTGATGGCCTAACAGGGTTTAGCGCGTGGTACAAAAAAAGGGAACCTTCTATTAATGTCAGTGGAGTGGGAATTTCAGTACTGGATCAATTGGGAAGAACTTATCAAGTGGCTCAGGCACAAGCCTGCTCGATTTTGTAGAGCCAAGTGAATAAATTTCCGAACCGATTGCCGGGGGTGAGGACTTCTTTATAGGCTTCTCGGCGTCAGTTACAAGCTGGGCAGGCAGCATTGAAGGACACTTGTCCTAATTCATGCCTGTGGAAAGCCTCGTCTTCATTCAACCGCAACTATTTGCAGCGATATTTTTCATGCTCTAGATGCTTGGCGAGAGAGACGAGCAAGAGTCCTCTTGAGCGACAGTATGTTGAGTTGGACAAGAAACGTTGGCTGACTGTTGAATCCTTCACAGCCCTTTCAAATTGAGGCACTGAGTAGTATTCAATTCGCAATGACAGGCTTATATTTCTTGATCTGATAACTCACCTGTGAATGACTCAATATTGAATCACCGAAAAGCGCCTACAATTTCATACTCGAAATATGGAATTTTTTCCTCGCCTCGCGTTAGTGTGATCTTGGTTGCTTTGAGCTGTAGGTCTGCACGACTAGACTGCAGAAAGCGAGATCATAGGAGGATGTGCTCGACACGTCAACCCGTTGAAGCTTAGAATAGCGTTGGCAACCCTCAATTTTCGAACTTGTGACCCTGAAACTACATTAAAAAAATTTGCTGTCTTCTGAACCCATTCGATTGATAAGATAAGTTTCTGAGGCGTTCAACGAAAGGGAAAGAAGTGTCTGATAGTATCCTTAACGAAATTTCATCTTTGGCCCTTAACTTCGTGAGGCTTGATCATTACCCTTAATCAACTATTCCTATTGTTGAATACACAGTCAACAGTCCGCTGAAGCGTAAAACAACTCCAGTCCGAATTTGAATGCTTTAATTGACCGTAGTGGTGGTTATAAACCTAGTCTATAACCACCTGCGCCTGTATAGTCTATAAGAGACACAGAGGATCAATGGAAATGGTATAATCTAGATCTTGATTTTCCCTGCAGACAAAATGGATACAAAACATAGCTCGACAGACCAGGAAATAGGAGATCAGCTGCCTAGTGAATTGCTCATCCTCGGCGAGAAAGACAAACCATAGGAAAATTCCGACCACGTCCCATTGGTAAGTGCGATGACTCGGCTTTGAATATTATTGCTAATAAATGCAGCCCTGTCTCTCCCAACAGGAAGCAGATACAAGACACGCCCGGGTGACCGAGCCCTTTTAACCCATCTTGAAGGTGCTAGCCGAACTCGAACGCGACGATCCCAAGTTCGCCTTTCCAGCAGCTCGACTTATTGGACTCTATCGACGCCTATGGGAGTCGTGCGTGTCTAAGTATATTGATGGCCAGAAGCTAGAGCAGGAAAACATGGTCTTGAAGGAGGCTGATACGAACCGGAGACAAAAGAGGGACGGTCTTTAGGCTCGTCACGACAAGCAGCTAGCCCGGCTGCGCTTTTTTGAGCAGGCATTGGATTTATCTAGGGAGAGGCTGGTTGGCGTACTCGATGACTGGAATCACCCCTCGAGACTCAATCTGGCAGGATTGTCGGACAATGCAAGAGAAAGGTGAAAAACTGTCTTTTCGAGGCGATGTGTCCTATTTCGGCATAGAAATACTATAGTTGACCTTTTCGAATTCAGTAGAACTACTGCTTAGAAAGCCTCTTCTATTTCTTAGTGATGCTGTAACAATGATACCTATAGTTTGAATAGATGGTCTGATCGAGTGGAGTCCAAGCAGTATACAAATCCAAGTTGATGAGCACTTGCCCCAGATTAAACCTGTCACGACAGCGGATAAAAGTAATGATGACACGTATGGGGCCTAGTCTGCCTGAAAAAACGGCCATCATCTTCGAGAAACCATAAGAAAAGTAGCCGGGTAATCAGGGCAAATAAAATTAGCATGATAATCAGTCTTGTATAAACTCTTCAGGGGTCATGGTAAAGGACTTGACATCCATGCTCCACAGTGGGAATAAGGCGGAGGTGGCAATATGTAGGTTTTCGATTACGGGGCCGCGCAGTTAGAGGTCTGGTGGGCTTTTAAGGTCCTTCACGCCGAGATGGTTGACTTATATACAACTTAAGTGGATTGGAAGATTGAAATGCTTCTGTGAATCTCTGTGCCTGTGACCAAATCCGGGCCTTATAAGCCATATCTAAGTTACATCAAGCTCCTGGGAGCTAGATGGATGCGAGGGGAGCCCATTGGTGCAACGCCATGACCTCACAACCATCTTCTTCCATGGTTGGTTGGAATTCAGCCCTGTCTTCTGGAAACGCTGGGGTCATTAATCATGCGATATAATTGGATTCTCCTAGTACAAGATTACCCACCGGGTGTTTACTCCCTGATTACTGCGAGCTAAGACGTATATAGATAATGTTAACCCTGCGACAGGTTCTAACGGTTGAAATTTTACAATCGACCATCTTTATTAGCTTACGATGCGGGTACTAAGTTCAATTGGTCTAAACTGTATTTGGGGGGATGGTTGTTAGGATTTGCATTTATACTGCAATCGCATCCACCTCCACCGCCCTTTTTTGTAAAACGAACGCATGAGTGGCCTCATATAATGTATAAATAACCTTGTTTCAATATGCTATTTATCACCACCCTCTTATAATGCCGCTAGAATGCGAGCCCGAGCGGATGTATTAATAAGTTGTGGGATCCCTCTTCTTTTGGAGCTACATCTATCTCTAGTTGTATTATGATTCTGATTATCACAATACCAACACTCCACATTATCTGATATAGATGGTTACTGGCCGCTCAAATCCTCGCCCCTAAGCAATTCTCTATTTTTAATTCAGCGGATTTGTTCTTGATTCGACGCGGCCTCACCGGACCGACCTTGCTCCCTCGACTATATATCCAGCTCTCTTTCTGCACTACGCGGGAAACAAGCTTTATCGCCCTTTTACATCCTGTGTAATACTCGCACAGAATTGCTTCAGGTTTTACCTTAAGTGTGACTGAATATCATGCATTCGATCCTCGCCACATCGCTCGTCCTATCACTCGCCCTCTTCTCCACAGCGGCGCTAAACCCCTGCTCGTTCGCGACAAACGATATTTCTCTAACAGAAGCCTAACTGATACAAATTGCTCCGCAATCAAAATCCTGCGACGACGCTCCAGCAAAGGGAGAATGTGCTACGGCAAAGACAGCCGCCGACTCCATCTCCTAATCTTTCAGTATATACAAAGTCACCAACAAAGCCGAACAAGTCGCAATCCTTAGCCTGATGGCCTTTGAAAGCAACGATTTCAAGTACAACAAGAACCATTTCCCCGGTACACTGGGACAAGGCAGTAAGTTCACCCGAAACCCACTGCACTCGGCCAGACCGTGAAGAACCTTATAGTAACTTTATTGGTGACCTCACGCAGTCAAGAGGAGCAAGAATAGTTTAGTTTGGCCATAACGGGTCACCTGTCGCTGCAGTCGTAGACGGTAGCGTCAGATAGGGCCCGTTCGCGCTCCCTTGTAGGGAGGCAATATGTCTGTATTGTAGTGGGTTCTATATACAGAGGGAAGGCGGGAGGGACAAAATCAAGACTTGACTGCGTGAGAGATGACGAGCTACCCGCAGAGGCAAGCAACTGAACTCGTGAGGCAGTTGTAGGAGGAAGAGGCCCTCAGTAATGTCGGTGTAGATATCACGTGAGGCTATGGGCATTGTGAGGCAACCCCAATAAAACTACTCCCTTTATTGGTGACCTCACGCAGTCAAGAGGAGCAAGAATAGTTTAGTTTGGCTATAACGGGTCACCTGTCGCTGCAGTCGTAGACGGTAGCGTCAGATAGGGCCCAAATGACCCGGCCAAACTAGGATGGTGGAGGGGACGGTGGGGGAAGCAGCAGAGACAGCGGGGCCGGCGAGCCTGTCTGGAACTGGTGATTGAGCTTGTACAAAACTGACGCGTTCGTCGTAAAATATACCCTGAAAGCTTCTGAGGTCCATCTCCCTAGCATTTGAATCTGGTCGTCGAGTATCCCACTATCGTGCGCATGCTGAGCTGCGCCCTTTCGAAAACTGTGACCCGAATAGCCCTCTGTCCGTAGTCCAAGCGCTCTTAGCTTAGTAGATAAGGTCGAGAGGAAGTTGTTGCGACTAAATGGTTTTCTGTGGAAGGAGAACAATGGGGCGTCGGGCCCTCTGGGGTCGAGAAGTAGCAGCTTCTGAAAGGCATTAACTGGGCACGCGCTATCTCCCGTCTTTGCAAGAATAATTTGCACCCCTTCGTGACGGCGGTCTGTCTTACTGCGCTTAAGTGTGAGTTGTGCGTGGTCTAACGAGGACGAGAACCTGACGTCGGAGCGCGTTAACTTTGTGGCTGAGAAGATAGAATGTGTGCTAAGGTCGTCAGTCTTGTAGGTGAATTCTCCGAGGCGAAGGAATCCAGTAAATGCTACCCGGCACGCGGTTGCAAAGTTCAAGTCGTCTAGCAGTTTCGCAGACATCTCCAAAGGCCGTGGTGGTAGTGCGGCAAGGCTCGCAGATAGTTTCGTAATAGTGTCACGCGAAATAGGTTTTTTGACCCGTACTTTTGTGACTGGGTTAAGTCTTCTCGCGCCGTCTATAAGACGCCGAAAATGCTTGTTATCGAAGATTTTATCGTTAAGGAAATTATCGATGTGGTAGGCTCGGAGAGCGGCTAGGTCGGCGAGTGCGGTGTCAGGCTTGACAACCTTTTGGCTGGCGTTACTAAGGAGTCGTGAGCTTAGCTATGAGGTCAATGACTGTCTTGAAACTGGCTATGCGGATAAGTTTTGTAGCGCGTAGTGTTTTTCGTAGCTGCGCTGAATAGAGAGGTAAACGGAACGTGTGTTGGCGCTGAGTCCGTTCTAGAGTAATTTTAGATGGCCGGCATTGAGCTGAGGAGCTCGTGAACAGAACCACGCGGGCGGTTTAATACCGAGAGGTCCTGCTAATGGGGACAAATGTTAGCAATGTCTTTAAGATTGTTACGTGAGAGCGCGTCTGCTAATGTATTTTCCCCGGAGGGAAGCCAGTGTGGCACGATGTGGATGTCTCTCGCCGCCGCTAGGATAAGCAGGCTCTTTAGAGGTGCGTTAGGCGGACTATGAAGAAATCCTTTCTTAAGTCCCGAGTGCGCTGTGGAGCTATCCGTGTGGATAACGAGAGTATGATGGAGCTAATGGTGGCTGAAGAGTAGGAAGCCTTGTAGGATGGCGTCTACTTCGTTGGTATTGATGTGCGTATGTGCGTCTTGAGCAAGGGCTAATGTGGCCGCATTGTTTGGATGAAGCTGGTGACAATGGGCTAGCTAGCAGTCTAATGTAGACTGGGATGAGAAGAAGAAGAGCCCCTGGCCTGTACTGGAGGCATCTGTGTAGAGATGCGTGATAGGGCGGCGGTAGGGGTCAATTAGGAGTACGCCGTTGAAGAGAGACAAAGAGTCCCTCCACCATTCCAAATCGTCACGTACCTCGTAAGGGATACGGCGGCGCGCACTACTACCATGTGGGAAAGCGGCTTGGAAGGTGTATAGAGACTGTAATCTTGTTCTTCCAAGTCGGACAACTCTTGAACAAAAGGCTAATAAGCCTGTGAGACGCTCTGCTTGCTTAAGGGAGAGACTCGCTGCGTTCAGGGCAGCTGCGGCGTCTAATGTGGCGCGGCATAACTTTTCTGGCGGCAGACGAGCTTCTATTGCAATAGAGTCGATCTGGATACCTAGGACTGTAATACAGGTCCCTTGCTGGTCCTTTTTGGTATTGCGAGGAATACGTAGATAGTCGGTGACTCTGTTGTAGACCTTATCAAAAAGACCCGTGGGGTCGGACACTGAGGGAGACTGAGTAATTGTGATGAAGTCGTCTAGGTAATGATTGATATGGAATGTAGGGAGGAGGCATTGGAGTATCTAATGGAGTGCCTCGGCAAAGAGGTTGAAGAGAAACGGGGCCGTTGCGAGGCTAAAGGGGAGGCAGCATTCGACATAAGTGGAATCGGTCCACTGGAAGGTAAGGAGGTGCTAATTATCCTCGGTAACGGGGACTATTCGGAAGGCGTCCTTAATGTCTCTCTTGATTATTGTGCAACCTGGGCCAGCTTGTATGACCTGCTCGTATATGTCATCGATTGACATATATTCGATAGCTGACCAGGGGTCCGGTATGCCCTGGTTAACGCCCTGTCTAGGGGGCCAGGATAGATCATGGATACGGCGCCATCCCCCGTCGTGCTTAGGGACTAAACCAAGCGGTGAAACGAAGGAGGACCTAGAGGCTAGCCGAACACGACCGAGGCTGAGATCCTCTGCTAGTTTGGCTGTGATCATGTCGGGTTCATGTATGTGATGGTTAGAGGAGTGGCGAAACTGCTTCTTGCCCCTATAACCGACTTGAGCACCGTAGGTCAGAATGCCAGCGATAGTGGACCCGAGATCGCCCGGATAGTAGCGTAGAAGATTGCTCCAGGCTTACGCATACAGTGGCGACGGAGAGGACTGTAGCCTTGGGAGCTCTGGGTTGAAGACGGGGTATTGAACAGCAGTGTTTGGTCGGGGCGGTTGCCCCTGTGGTATGAGGCTTAGGGATAGGGGATTGAGAACAACGTTGTCGGTGATATTGGTGCAGTTCTCAAGAATTGTCACTTGCTATTTTTTCTTGCGGCAGGAGGAGGCGCCATGCTCGCTTAGGCCGCATGCCGTGCACTCATGACGTCTCTTACAGCCTTCCTAGGAGCACCCTATCGAGTTGAACTTATCGCAAACTTCTGTCTTATTATTCGAAGATCTGGTATTCCTAGCTTAACGAAGCCGGGTTGGAGGGTTTGTTAGTGACTTCGCAGACACGGTGAGATTGTGGCGGAGGTATTTCTCGCGAAATGGGCCCGTGACCAGGTAGCTGTCCGTCGATAACTCTCCTTTATCCATCATGTATTAGTGGAAATTAAGGGCAAGTGGGAGAACTGCTTCTGACCACTGATAAGTCTGAGCGAAGTCTAGGATCTGCCTCATAAACATGAGTAGATTGGGAACTGCTTTAGGATGTTTTTCGCCGAAGAGATATCCTACAACAGCCAGATAGGCAAGAAAGCAGGTTGTCTATATTTGAGGGTTGGGGCCCCAGTCCTTAAGCGACGCTGCTGCCTTTTTGAAGCCTACTGTGCCTCCTAACTCGGTCATCTTGAAGACTCTGTCCTCCTGATCTAGCTCGGTGACTGACTTCTCTTTGAAGCGTATGAGTTCAGTCGCCTTCAACTTCCTCTCAAAGACGCGAGTAAGAAGGGCGGCGGAGACACCAGGAAATATGTCGATGAGTGGTTTAACTTCGGGGAGTGGCTCACGGTTTTCTTCGAGAGTATCATCATCTTGAAGGTCCACACGAGGCCTTCTGCGGCGGAGGTCGGTCTCCGCTACATCCAATTCAAGGCGCCTAGCCCGGTCTCTCTGTATCTGTCCTAGCCAGCTGGCACGGTCTGCCGTACCTATGGTTTCCCAAATGTGGGCCGGCGGCCAAGCGGAGTCGAGCGGGGTAGGAGTGGCACTGCTAGACTGGCTGAACGTCATGGTGGAGAGCGATATAGTCAAAGCCTATCGGTGCTGTTGTCCTGGAGAAGGACGTGAAACAAAATCAAGACTTGACTGCGTGAGAGATGACGAGCTACCCGCAGAGGCAAGCAACTGAACTCGTGAGGCAGTTGTAGGAGGAAGAGGCCCTCAGTAATGTCGGTGTAGATATCACGTGAGGCTATGGGCATTGTGAGGCAACCCCAATAAAACTACTCCCTTTATCCTCCGTCATTTCCATAGGCATGCCGGGGGATCGACCCCTATCCTTCCCTCGCAACTAGTGGTAGATACCCCGGAAAAAAGTGCAAAAATCCTACCTAGGACAGCTGAAGTATCGCGTTTTTCAAATGATACTTGAATTCGCATCGCATTGCGACTGGCTCACAATAAACCCTTTTACTGTGCTTAATCCCCTCGTAATAACTCTCTAGGAGTTGTTATTGATAGATCAGGGCCAGACTTCAATTTGAGACCCCCTGTTTCCCCAACCCGAGTGTGGGACATACAGTTTAATGTTAGGTTCTATGTTCAATAAATGAGACGAAAATCACTTTCAGCCTAGGACGAGTCCCTTTTTAGGTTTCAGGACAATGATCATGGGATTATGACGTGGGCACTGCCTAACTGAGTGGAAATGCAGCTAGTGGCAATGACGGAGATGAAGGTTGTTGAATATCACGGTCACTGAGATAGTCACAGGGGCTGGGAGCACGTGCATACATATATACCTGTCTACCAGCCTTGTATCTAACACAATCAACTCCCCTCAAGAACATGAATACTAAAGCATCACTTATCAATCAACAGTAGCGAAGGAGATGAAAGTGGTGAAGATGGTGAAGGTGTAATCAACGTTAGGTCGGTCGTGCTTTGAGCATTCACACTTCGTTTTCTAGATTTTGGCGTCGGACTGGTATGAATATTGCCATTCTCATAGCGAGGCTACACAGCCTTCAATTCTGCTGCCTACCAGAAAAATATTCATCCCGTTGATTTTAATAGGCCCACAACTATACAAATAGCCTCAAAAATCGACAATGCTGACCGGGGTGGCATTATAATGTACTGCGAAATTCAAAACGTCGTGTCAATTATTATATCATATTTAGTGACTATTTAAGGTTGCTAGTCCCGCGAAGTAAGGTCAGCACACCCACGTTACGCTACGCTCGAGCTCAGCTTCAACACACACACGACGCAAGCGGGTGCACACGGTATCTGTGCCGGCAGGTCATGGCTTCTGGAAATCAATTGATTAGCCAAAGTCCCGTCAAAATTTTAAAAACAAAAAAGTGGTCAAATGGGGGAGACCAAATCTCCGATGAATGCTGCGTCAGTTGCATGATCCTGCTGGTTTTACTCTTTTCGGGCACCTCCCCAGAGCATCGTATCACTGCCGTCGAGAATGAAGTGGAGCGGTCAGTGGGAACATTGACGGCGACAATTCCCAAAATTCACCGTCCACCTTTGGATCAAGCATTTACCCCGATGACCCTGGCATCGAATCTGTTGGCTTAAACACAGTCTGCATAAGCTCTGCAGCGAAAGACGGGAAATTATAGGAGGACGTTCCCTATCAAGCAATCTCGGCTACCATTAGTGAATTTGCTAGATACGAGTCAAATCTCGACCAAAATTGAAACTTTGAAGAGACGAGGCTGGCCCAAGTTGAAGCGACTGGGTCGAGCTGTTTAACGCAATTCAAGACGGATTTCGCGTCTTCGTGCACACTTGTCATTCTTACAAGCAGAGCTCGAAGAATGGACATCATCGCGAGATGGCTCAGCAAGGACAACTCTGTGCAAGCAGGAGCTGACTGAAAATGAGTTCTCCCCAGGTCGGATGTATCTAGTTGGATCTTTTTTGGTCCAGTATTATCTCCAGAAATGGAATGAGGAGCCAATTGATGGAAATAGGGTGAATATTCCGGGGTTGATCGCTCTGTTAATTGACCAATTCCCTTGCCTACATGCGTGACATTGTTTTGTTTTTTTTTTTGGTTATTTTGGTCGGAAGTTGTCAGGAAAGTGGTGATCAGCATCGTATTAACCCAAACGGTACCTCTGAGATTCTAGAGGATTCGATACCAGGTATTCTCGAGGGTATTTTAACCCCCTCGAGCCCAGTAGATAGGAAAGCAAGAATCAACACTCTTTTTATCGTATCTTTTGGTATTTCCCCTTTTTGATTCCGTTGCCTTTCGCTGGCCAGTAAATCCGGTGTATTTCCACAGCTATATAGAGCATTCCTGATATATTCACTGAATTCACTAATGGAAGCCGGACCTTCTTGATAGGGAACGATATCTTGTAATTCCCCTTCTTTCCCTGCGGAACTTGTGTGCCCTGTGCTTGAGCCAACAGATCCGATACCAAAGTCATCGGGGCAAATGCTAGATCTAAAGTAGGACGGTGAACTTTGGGCATTGACGCCGTCGATGTACCTGCTGGCTGCTCTGTTTCCTTCTTGACGGCAGTGATACGATACACTGGGGAGGTACCCGAAAATAGTAAAAACAACAGGATCATGCAACTGATGTAGTTTTCATTGGAGATTTGGCTTCGCCCATTTGATGGCTTCTTTGCTTGTAAAGCTGTGCCGAGCCTTTGCTTAACCGATCAATTTTCAGAAGCCATGACCTGGCTGTCACAGATACCGCGAGCTTCCACTTGCACCGTAAGTGTGGTACCTATTGTGCATAAACTGACCTTACTGCACGGGACTAACAACCTTAAATAGTGATTGAATACGAGATAATCATTGAGACGAGTTTGAATTTGGCAGTACATTATAATGCCATCCCGGCCAACATTGTCGATTTCTGAGGCTACTTGTATAGTTGCGGGCCCTTTAAAATCAATGGGATGAGGGCCGTTCTGGTAGGCAGCAGAATTGGAGGCTTTGTAGCCTCGCTATGGAAATGGCAATGGTCATACCAGCCTGAAGCCAACATCTAGAAAACGTAGCGTATATGCTCAAAGTACGACCGAGCTTACATTGGGTTGACCATGATGATCTTCACCATATTTACTCCTTCCATTGTCATTCAGCTAGGGAGCGTCCATGTTCTAACTCCATGTTCGGACTCGCATGGACCACTGGAAAGCAGCCGGGACTTGGAATAAGAGTTTTCTCGATACCAACTGAGTACCAAGCTTGGATTGCGTATCCCAAAGTCGGGTTGGAGGAGCAAGCCGCCCTGAGAAGAACTGTTGGCTTAGACTATCAACATCCAGATCTAGAGAGCTATTACAAATTGTGTACGCAAGAAATTTCACCGAACGCCAGTCACTATGAGATGTAAATTCAAGTGTTAATTGAAAAGTGCGAAAATTCAGCTGTCCAAGGTAATGTTCTCTCTTTTTTATCCGGGAAATCCGCAGCTGGTTGCGAGCGAACGACAACCGACCCCCCCGCATGCCTATGGAAATGACGCAGGATAATGCGATGTATACTTAAAATTCCGATCAAAGCAAGTATGCCCCCGAGAACACTACTAAGTACAAGTACCACGCCCTGTTTTGAAAGCTCCACCGATATGTTACTGCCTGAGATTGCCGTGTCTTGCCATTTAGGGTTTGAGGTTTTTGTGGCTGATGGGGGTCCGATCGTCTACGAACTAGTTTGAGAACTGGTTGTTTCTGTCAGCGTTCTTAAAAGGGTTTGGAAATTATGAGTAGTGACCTCAGATGAAGAGTGTCTCGTCGTCTCACTGATACGGCCAGCAACAACAGACCGCTCGGTACCAGAATATCTGTTGCTTGTCGTCTCTTTCTGTTGAGGGGTCCCCTTGCCATTTTCTGCGCCTATCCCCCGCGGGGGTACCTGGAGTCACGGTGACTCCAGGTTAGGTTTTTCTTTTACTATGGAGGGGGGAAAGTGGGTCCATACCCTGACTTCAGGTTAACTTCTCACCCTGACTCCTTTGGTCTAGAGGCCTCCGATCAGTCTGAAAATTTGGAAAGTTATAATGGCACATATGAATTTGCCCCCATTTGCTCCGGAGCTTGCACAGCCCTCTGGTTGTCGAGAAAATGGTGATTGAAAATGTCGGGTTTTTCGAGATATTTTGATGGGGTGCGGGAATCTGGAGGTGCGACCGGGGCCTGAGGCAGCCACTTGGTCACCACGATAAGATAAGCGGGTCGCATCCTGACTTCAGGTAAACTTCGCACCCCCACTGCCGAGGGCTACAGACCTCTGATGGATCTGAAATTTGCAGAGGTTATAATATAGAGTGATTTATTTATCTCTGTTAATTTTTAGAATATAGGAGCATATATATGTGGGGTGGAGGGTGATCAAAAATGGGAGATGTTTTGATGGGGGACAAGAAAGGCTTGGCACTACAGCCATACAATACTCCCATTCCCATTTCATATCTTTCAAACCATCCATGTTATTCACACTATATATGCCATTCATGGGATCCAGCCATTGGTTTTTTTCACCACATTCATGTTACTCGCACTATGCATGGCATTTATGCTGCTCACCATATTTATATTATTCACTATATTTATGTTATTCACCATATTTATGTTATTCACCATATTTATGTTATTCACCATATTTATGTTATTCACCATATTTATGTTATTCACCATATTCACGTTATTAGGCCATTCATATTGCTCAGCTGTTCGTGTTGCTTACCATATTCATATTATTCACCCATTCATGTTGATCAGCCATTCATATTACTCAGCTATTCGTGTTGCTCACTACATTCATGTTATTCAGCTATTCATGTTGCTTACCATATTCATGTTATTCACCCATTCATGTTGCTTACCACATTCATGTTGCTTACCACATTCATGTTGCTCAGCTATTCGTGTTGCTCACCACATTCATGTTATTCAGTCATTCGTGTTACTCCGCCATTCATGTTATTCAGCCATTCCTAACATATATGCCATTCATGTTGCTCAGCTATTCGTGTTGCTCACCATATTCATGTTATTCAGCCATTCAAACCAGATTAGGCTAATTGT